TCTCTCTCTCTCTCTCTCTCTCTCTCTCTCTCTCTCTCTCTCTCTCTGAGACAGAGTTTCTTTGGGTAATAGCCCTGGCTTTCCTGGAACTCACTCTTATAGACCAGGCTGGTCTCAAACTCAGAGATTCACCTGTTTCTGCCTCCCGAGTACTGAGAGGAAAGGCGTGCGCCACCACTGTCTTCACACCCCATGCAATGGTGAATACCTCTGATATACAACCTTTGAGGGGGGTGAGAGCATTCTAACATCTCAGATCCTGGCCGTTGGCTTCCCTAATGTTGCTGTAATTTTGTCCCAGTTTGGAAGAACTCCGAGATGCTCGTCAGGCACAGTCTTCTGTTGGTGAATACATGCTGCTCTCCCTGTAGCTAGTCCTGTTTCCTAAAACCCTCAACACAGGGACACATAAATCACTCAGGGACCTAGGAAAATGCATATTCGTGTGTGTGTGTGTGTGTGTGTGTGAGAGAGAGAGAGAGAGAGAGAGAGAGAGAGAAAGAGAGGGAGAGAGAGCCTTGTTGGAAGTCAGAGGTTGACATTGGTATCTTCCTCTATCACTTCCCACCTTTTTTTTCCTTAGTGAGCCTGGAGTTCTGTGAGCCTAGACTGGCTGCCCAGCAAGTCCCAGGGCCCTTCCTGTCTCCATCGCCCCTCACAGCACTTCCTGTCTCCATCACCCCCTCAGCACTTCCTGTCTCCATTGCCCCCCCCTCCGCATTTCCTGTCTCCATCACCCCCTTAGCACTTCCTGTCTCCATCACCCCCTTAGCACTTCCTGTCTCCATCACCCCCTCAGCACTTCCTGTCTCCATCACCTCTCTCAACTCTGTTGATCTAAAAACTCAGATTACTTGTGCTGACCCAGTAAACCTTTTATCCACCAAGCCCCAGACCCAGAAAGTGCAGAATCTGATTCACTGAGTCTGGGTGGTTTGTTCGTTTCCCAGGTGATTCCAATAGGCAGCAAAATTTGAGAAGTATTGCCTTTTTGTTAAGTGACGGAGATTAAAGGATTGCCAGAATTACATAAAATACTGAGCGAACTCTGAAGACTTGGGGCTGGAATGGACAATGTGTGCGCTATGGAGACTGAACCAAATGTCACCCAGATGTTAGAGCGCACAGATCCCTGTGATCCTCAGCAGTAGGGGGCTTTATGTCACACCTGTCCCACCGTGATACTGGGTTTCCCAGATGTTGTGACCCCATGACAGGGAACATGAGCTGATGAAAGGAAGAAGAGGCTGGGATAAAGCTCCCCCAAAATAAAGGCTTGGAACCCCCCTTAGGACAAAGCCTAGGGATTCTGTTCCATTCCCCTAACACTTAAAGGGAACGGCTTTATGCCAAACACTCTGCCAAGCTTCAGGGACCCTGGCATATGAGCGAGGCATGAGTCCTACCTTGATGGAGCTAGCAGGGGATGAAACGGAATGTTTCTAGTATCAGAGAAACTGTAGGGATGTGCCCTGGTTATGGCAGAGTCTGAACAAGCAGCCTCAGAGAGATCAACGAAATTTTCCTAAGCTTTCCAGCTGGGTCTTGCAAGATGAGTAACAGTTTTCCAGGTAGCTATGGAGTGGGGAGAAGAGAACGCTGGGTTTCCTCCTGTGGGGAATAGAGGCCCATGGGATATCTGAGCAGAGGAGAAGCTGTTTAGGCTTGTGGTTTTGGAGGATGGATAACGGAAGAGGAAACTGAGGCTGTCAGAGCCCATGGGTGCTCCAGACACGTCTTAAAGATTTCAGTGAGGTCAGCAGGCATCAGGAAGGACAAAAAGGAGACAGTGATGTAAATTGCAATAAGAAGCTTTAATGATGACATATAATGACTGGCCATTTATGGGGGTGACTAAGGTGTAAGGCTGCGCTTAAGCAAGCTGCCAAGGGCACCGAATTTCAGGGTGATGCTCGTTATAACCTTGAACTGAGAGGAGTCAAGATGAGTTAAGTCTCTGACACGGTGATGGACTAGATTGTGAGGCGATCATTCAGGGGTGCAGAGGGCTATGGTGTGGCATCAAGGTTAGCAAGCCCCTCCATGGCCCCTTGCTCTCCCCTTTGTCTTTGTGACTACATAGGTCTTACGCGAGGTTCCCGCCTCTCCGTCTGGCCTGGCTTTGCTCAGTGTCCACTATTCCACTATTATGTTGCACAACTCAGCTACTGACCTCCCCACAGCATCCTTTAGCTGCGGCCTTCCCTGAAACCAATGATGCGATGCTCACAGGTGGCTGCCCACTCCCCCAGCCTGGCAGCATCCCCAGCTCTGAGAGCCCTCAGACATGTCAGCTGGTTCTACCGGGAAAAATTCCAGTGGGGCAGCAGCCAATTTCTTCCAGTGGCTCAAGGTGATGTCAGCCTTCCAGGAGGCCAGCTATGAAATCAGAGGGCAGTCGTCTGCCCTGGGAAAGTGCCCTCTTATTGTTAGTAATGACAGTGCATCTTATGGAGTCAGACTTTGTGTCAGTCCAGGTGGGGTGGGGGCTTTCACACAGCATGGATCTCAGTGAGGCTGGGGATGCGGTGTGTAGATCTCTCCTCTCTGTTATTTTCTGGTGGTCCAAGACTAGTATTCTGTCTCGTCATTTGTTACATGGGGAGGAAGGAGGGAGCTCCTGGCTGTTGAGGGTTCTGTCAGCTCCTGTGTTTGTGAGCCATGCAGAAAAGAAGTGAGGTTCTGATACTGTGGCTGAGCGGGGAGGACATGGCTTGCTGGGCCTTCAGCTTAGTGGGCAGGGCAGGTGTGTTGTAGGTTGTGTCTAAAGCCCAGGTAGCCTCTGGGGCCTCATTTTGTCCCCTGTTGCTGGGGAATCTCTCCCTTGGGTTGTTCTGATTTCCTCAGCAGCCCAAGATTAGACCAAGATTTCCTGCTGCCCCAACGATGAGCTGTCTTCCTGAGTCAGGAACCACACAGTCCAAGGGCTGGACTGCCCAGTGGCTGCCTTTTCTCCTCCTGCTGCATGCCATCTGGGGCTTGGTTGCCAGGAATAGATTGCCACCCACCCTCCTCACAGGCATGGTGACCCAGCCATTCCTTTGTATCCATAGCAAAGAGATCGAGTGCCTTATATTCCTTAAGGATCCTGTCCACAGTGGAAGCTCTGTGTTACTGCTCTAGAGGCTGACGGAGGAAACTCAGTTCTCACTGACGCTACAAGGCTCCTTCTGGGCAGGTCTTATGTCCACTCCTAGAAGGATCGCAGGAAAGGGGAGCAGAGTCTCTGCTTTGTAGTCCATCTTGGAGTGGACCTAACAAGAGGATCAGGAGTTTAAGGTTATCCTTGGCTCTGTTACATGGAGGAGGAGGAGGAGGAGAGAGAGAGAGAGAGGGAGGGGGGAAAGGGAGAGAGAGAGAGAGAGAGAGAGAGGATCTCTTAAGTTGTCAACAGACGTGATGTCACATACATGCAATCCCAGCACTCAGGTGGCAGAAGCAGGAGGATTGCCACAAGTTCCAGGTTAGCCTGATCTACATATAGGTTAACCTGATCTATATTAATAAGTTCTGGCTAGCCAACACTATGCAGTGAGATCCTTTCTCAACAAATCAAAACAAAAAACAACAAAAGCAACCAAACCAATAAAGCTACGTGTGGTGATTCCCACTTATAATCCTGGTCATCCTCTGCTGCATAGAAGGGTTGAGGTTAGTCTGAACCACATGTGACCCTGTGACCAACCAACCAACCAACAAAAATCCCAAATTGTTATGCCATGGACCAATCTCTGAACTCCATTGTATCCTCAGGCCATGGAAAGCAAGCTGCTCATTGGCGGGAGAAACATCATGGATCACACCAATGAGCAACAGAAGATGCTAGAACTGAAGCGGCAGGAGATTGCTGAACAGGTAAGGCTGCTAGGCTTCAGGTTCCATGAAGCATATGGCCTTGAGGTCGTATGTGGGGTAGGCTGGGCCGGGAGTCCTGGAATTAGAATGCCGAGAACCCAAGCTAAGTCACTTGGATTCCATGGGTCTGCCAGCTCAGCGTTTTCTCTTCGGGGGAGAAGGGGTGGCTCTCTGCACAGTTAGCCTCCACGAGACCTCTGGTATTAACTCCCGGGCCTTCCCCTGCCAACTGTATGGCTATTTCCTAAGTCACCAAGTTAGTTTCCAATCAGCTGCGACGCTCCAGGCGGTGTCCCCAGGCTATGCCCGCTCTTAGTGCTGGGGTCTCCATGCACACAGGCTCACACCTGGCATAGTTATGCTCACTGAAGTTGAAAAGAGGGGTCTGTGTCCAGTGTTCCACTTAGAATTGTGAGGGATAGTAGACATAAGCCGTGGGGTACCCCGACACCCGGGATTATGATAGACAGGCCCTATGTCAGGCAGAGTGAGACAGCCCCTGCTCTCTTTAGCCTCCTCCAGTGGGCCTTGCTTTCCTGTTGTGACCCCCTCACCGTGCCTTGCCCTAGAAACGCCGCGAGCGGGAAATGCAGCAGGAGATGTTGCTCCGAGATGAGGAGACCATGGAGCTGCGTGGTACCTACTCGTCCCTGCAGCAGGAGGTGGAGGTCAAAACCAAGAAACTCAAGAAGGTAAGACCAGCGGCAGGGTAAACAAGATGCTGCTTAAGAGTTGCTTGCTCAGAGAGGGTGCCTCAAAGGCCCTTCCCACTGCCCAGTCCCTGAACTATACTGCCTGGGCTGATGGGGCGGGGGGCGGGGCAACCAGGGGGAGGAGTCTGGTGTCAGGGTGGTCGTCGTCATGGTCATGGTTAACCTCTCTACTTTGAATGTCACCGTTGAATCATAGCCTTGGCAGCTGGGTCAGGGGATGTGATAAGGCCACGGAGCCTCATGCCCAGGGAGGAATACAAGGTTCTCGACCCCACGCCAAGGGACAAGGACCTGGTCACCAGGATTCTGCAAAATTCATGGAAAGATGTGACCTGAGATGGGGGTTTAGGGTTTAGGGTAGGAAATTCCAGTGTGGACTCAGGGAAGAGCCAAGAGAGCCCCCAGGATTATTGTTGTGACCGCCTCAGAGCTGGCCAGACCAGGCCCAGTCACTACAGCAGGCTCTAGAACATCACTCCGTTAGGACAGAAATAGGAAAGCCATCGCTGGCTCTCGTGCCCTCACGTTTGGGGATTTCTCAAATAGGTGGGTGTGGGGTGGGTTACGTTCCCAACCCTCTCAGCCTCTAGCCCCAGCCCCAGATCTCCAGAATGAGACATGGGTCTGGCTACCCCCACCCCCAAACAGGGTTTCTCTGTAGACCAGGCTTGAATTTGGAGATCCGCCTGCCTCTGCCTCTCTAGTGCTGGGATTAAAGATGTAGACCGCCACTGCCTGGCTTGTCTCCACTCTTCTGTTGGCCAGTTATGACAGTTTATTCAGCCTCGGTCTCATTTATGACAGCTTATTCAGCCTCGGTCTCATTTGCCTCTCCTGTGAAGAGAGGATGTTAGGCCAAAATTTACCTCAGCTCTCTTTCAGTTTAAACACTCCGAGAGAGAGAGAGAGAGAGAGAGAGAGAGAGAGAGAGAGAGAGAGAG